GAGTTCTGTCATGTGATCTCTAGCTGTGTTTCTATCTCTAAGGCTAACTTTCTAACTACCCACCGTTCCTTTTGGCTCGTACTCTTGTACGCCAACCACAATACTATTGAACGGATCGTGATTGCCTGTGGGATCAATCTCAGACCAAAGAAGTCGGTAGAAATCTTCAATTGCTCCATCTTTCCTTTGGTGGCTGGTGCATACATTTGAATAATAGTCGTATTAACTGGTCTCCCTCTTGGGTACGTGGATATTGTCCCATCACTGAGGGCATTGCACTCTGAGATGGATCTTGAAATGATCTTTTCACGGATGAACGAGAAGCTACTCCTTTTCAATCTGTCACTCCCAGCACAGGACACCAAACGACGGCCAAACCAATCTCTTCAGTTTAACTAATCCTTAGAGCAAGGATCCCTGGCGGCTCAGTGGGTTAAGCATTGAGCTCTTAAATCAAAAGATCGTTGGTTCGAATCCACCAGCCATTCCTTAAAAGACAGACGAAGCTGTCTGCTCCCATAAATATTTACAGCCTCAGAAACCCAATGGGGCAGTTGCACTCTGTCCTCTAGGGTCGTGAAGAGTTGGAGTTGAGTCTGTGGGTTGAAAAAGTCGCTTGTGTGTCGACAAAGGCCTAGGGTATCGATCTCTATGTGTTCCTCTTTATGTTTGATAACTGCGTTTTCTCAGATTCACACTTTGTACCACTGTTACATCAATGGTAATCCAAGCGACGATCACTGATGGGCGTTTGCAGCCGTCTCTTCACATTCTGAGTCCTGTCCACCCTTGCCCAGCCAATGAAGGTCCCAGAAGCTCTGCTCCAGCCCATCATTAGGCCAGCTCCGCTTTGAGAAGGCGGCTCTTCCCTCGTTGTCTTTGGAGGGACCAGGAAAGGATGGCCTGAGGGCCCAGTCCTCTCAGACAGTGGCCACACTAGGCTCAGAGGTGGCCAGGCAAGCTCTGCTCTCTCCTCCCTGGGCCACCCCCCAGGGTTAATGCTCATATGCTCAATGCCCTTGGTGCTCAGACTGCCCGCATGCTGTGCTCTCTCACCTGTGGTGAGAGAAGGACGCCTCCCAAAGAGTGACCACCCAATGGCACGCTGCTCTCGGGGAAATGTTACTACTCACCACAGGCCACCGCCCGACCGGGCCGTCTGACGTGGGTCCCCATTGAATGTGCCCCAAAGAGTTCAGTGGCTGTGGGGGTTGGATCTCTGGGACATTCTTTCTAATCTGCCTCAAAATCTAGATGCTCCAACTTTTTGGGAGGCGTCCTCAGTCCAGTGACTGCAGACTAAGTAAAGGACAGACAGCAGTCACGGGAAGAAGCCCACATCCCAATCCCGGAAGAAGGGTTTCTGAGACGGCATGTCTTTGCAGAAGCCCCCACTCATCCCATTCTCCCATGGAATAGGTGGTGAGTTCAAACCACTGACCCTAGTCCCCGATTCCGACTCATACGGACCCGGGGGACAGAGGAGATCACCTCTTCAGGCTTCCAAGGCTTGAATCTTCACAAAGGCAGCCAGCCTCCACTGCTCCCCTGGAAGGAGGCAGCCAGCCTCCACTGCTCCCCAGGACTGAAACTAGCAGCCCCCGACTGCTCTCTGGAACGGAGGCTGGCAGTCCCTGACTGCTGCCCTGGACTGAGACTAGCAGCCCCGGACTGTTCCCCGGGATGGAGGCTGGCAGCCCTGTGCTAAGCCCACTATATCTATCGTCTGGCTCCTCCAGACTAGCCTCCCACCCCCACCCCCACCCCAAGGGAGCCGCCCAGGACTCCCTGAGCTTTCTGCATGCACCTGTCATGGTGGACAAGCGCCACATCTTGACACCAATAGATGTCATGGTATGTTCCCTCAACGGCCTGTGTCTCTCTCAGTGGAAAGATGCAGCTCTCCACTCCTGTACAGAGTGACAGTCCGGGAAACCCACAGGGGCAGCAGGTTTATGCGGCCCTGTCTGTAGGGTCTCTGTGAGTTTCGACCTGTGTGTAGCAGGCAGTGCTGGTTCTGATTCTGAATCCTGGCCTCCATGCAGGTGGGTTGGATCCCGGGCCAGCGCACCTCGTATGTAGCCCCCCACCCCCACGCCACCACTGCCATCTGCCAGCAGAGGCTCGTGTGATGCCGAGCAGGTTTCGGAGTAGTTTCCGGACTACGGCAGACTAGGAAGAAAGGCCTGGTGAGCTACTTTTGAAAACCTGGCAGTGGAAACTCTCTGGTCCAAGTCGGATCTGCAGGGTCACCTTATGATGGTGACGATGGCTGAAATGGTGGACTCCAGGTGTGCCCCTGGAGCAGCCCATTAGCACCATGGGTCTTGGAGCTCGCTCAAAGCTGTGCTGGCCATTCCATGAAGAGAAACCTGCCCGCTGGACGAGGCCAACCCACAGCCCTGTGTGCCAGGAGGGGGCATGGGAGCACCCCAGCACAGCGTGTGGGCCTCACACTGGACTGCCCACTGGGCAGAGGTCAGGGCCCACTGCTCTGTGAGTGCTGTCGAGCTTACCTGTTGTGAGGCCGGGGCCCCAGCCGCTGGCACACCACGGTGGCGGTGGAGTGCTTGCTGCCATTGCCCATCTCTTGCGTAGAGTCCCACTGCCGAGGCTCGCCGGTCTGCGTGCTCAGGATGTTCACACCCTTCTTGACCTTGGCTCTGTGGGCAGGGGTGGGAGAGAAGGACTCGGTTAGAGGAGTGGCCGCCCCAGAGCGTCTGTTCATGTCTGAGTCACCCAGCTGCTCACCCACCCCTGCCCTGTGTTCCAGGCTCCCCATGGCACAGAACAGAACACACACCAGAGGGACTACTCCGAGCCCGGGCCAGGGGCAGGATGAGGGCAGGGGCTCCCCTGAGCACTGAACCAACAGGGAAGAGCGGGGTAGTCACACCATGGTGAGTGTTGCTTGCAGGGGCACCTGGCCCTCAGGGGTGGGGCACTGTCTGGACACCAGCCTTTTCAGCAGAGCACATGTCCATCCAATAGTCCCCACAGGTCCCCCTCAGTGGTGCTGAGGGCTGGTTCCACTGTCACCTCCTGTCCCTGCCCATCCCTCCCGGCTTCACGCAAACCCACCACCCCAACCTTCATTCCAACCTTCCTTGTTGCTGTCCTCCCGTTGAGGCCACTCGCATTGCCACCAAACTGAGGACTACCCATAGTGACCCCAGGGCGGGCTGCAGTGTCTCTGGGGGTTTCTGAGACTAACCCTTCACAGGAACAGAAAGAAGGCTTCGCCCTTCCACAGCGGAGTGGCTGGGGGTCTCCGACTGCTGACCCCTTCCAGGCATGTCCCCCTTCTCACCCTCGGAGTTGTCCCTCCCCAGTCACACAAACCACTCCCCACTTCTACTGAAGCACCCAGTCACTGCTGTCCACTGGACTCATCCAGTCAGACGTGGTGGGAAGGTGGGTCCAGGCAGGGGTGCTTCTGACCACCTGACAGCTCACAGAACAGGCTTGTTCCTAGAGGCGAGATGCCCTGGCCTAGGGTCCCACCCCAGCGGCACCCCTGCCTTCTGTCTGCCTGACTCTGAGCGTGAGCGGAAGCCCTCAGAGTCCTCGTGTCCTATGCAAAAGGACAGGAACAGGAGCCCCCGTTCCAGAGACGTGGTGACGACAAACTGAGTTCACACCTGGAATGAGAAGACGCAGACGGCCAGGCTGACCCCCATTTGTGCTGACAGTGCTGGGGAGGAGGTCCTGGCGTGGAGGCACTTGACACACTGAGGTTGCAGCCCTGGACCAGTGACCCCGAGGGTGGTGCCGCCCGGTGGAGCTGCCTTCTGCTGCCCACAGGGCCGCCGTGAGTCTGAGCCAAGGGCACTGCAGGCACCACACTTCACACTTGTTAAAGCCCAGACATCGGCCCTCTTCCAGAGCCCCTTGGGGCGGTGTAATACAGGGATGATTAATTGCGCCTCAGAGGAAATCGATGTTGGTACAAATTCTGAACATGGGAATTCTGCCTGCTCCCCACCCCCAAGCCACCATCCGGGGGCTATGACACTCTCCTTGTTAAACCCTCTCCTCAAGAAGCGGCTGGGGTCTGCTGGGAGCTGTGCACCCGACATGCGGTGAGGGGCTGCCGGAGGGTTGCAAGGCTAGACAGCAGGAGGCCTGGTGCCTGCAGGGGATCATCTGCCAGAGACGATCTGTCACCACCCAGTGAAGCGAGTGGCTTCCCTCCAACACCGGACCTGCCCGTCCAAGAGGACCTGCCGGCGTGCATTTGTATGCGTCTGCATGTGTGAGTATGTGCATCCATCTGTATGTGTACCTGAGTGTGTCTGTGGGCCCGTCTGCATGTGTGAGTGTGTACATCTGTCTGTGTGTCTATGTGCATCCATCTGTGTGTACCTGTGTGTGTCTGTGGGTCTGTTTGCATGTGTGTGTGCATCTGTCTGTATGTCTGTGGACCTTTCTGCGTTTGTGAGTGTGCGCATGCATCGGTGCGTGTACCCAAGTGTGTCTATGGGCCTGTCTGCACGTGTGAGTATATGCATCTGTCTGTGAGTCTGTGTGTATTTGGATGTGTCTGCATGTATGTGTGTGTGCATCCGTCTGTATGTGTACCTGTGTGTCTGTGGGCCCGTCTGCATGTGTGTGTGCAACCATCTGTGTGTCTGTGGGCCTGTCTGCATGTGTGAGTTTGTGCATCGGTCTGCATTTGTGTGTGTCTGTGCACCCATCTGTGTGTGTCTGTGGGCCTGTCTGCATGTGTGTGTCCCTGAGTATGTGTGTACAACTGTTTGAGGAGTCCTGGTGGTGCCATCCGGTCAGCGCTGAGCTGCTAACTGTAAAGTCCTCCCAGGGCAGCGGTGGAAGAAAGATCTGGTGATCTGCATCTGGGGAGCAAACGAATCCAGCCCTGGAAGCCCCCTGGAAGCCCATGCTGCTGCAGCTCCTGCTGGTGTGGCTGGGGTACTCTCTGGAGACATCTCTGGTTGGCGCAGGTGCAGGAGGAGTGCAGAACCTCGGGAGCTGCTCCCTCTGCAGAGCATGACCAAGGCTGAGCCAGGATGCCCTGTGAGGCCACTTCTGAGACCTGAAGGAGCTCAGCTCTGCTCTCACAGCCGGGGGTCTCCAATTGTTGGCCTCATGGCTGAGTGGGCTGTGCAGATAACCCTGCGGTGTCATTACCTGGGCCACACCCGACACACACACCCCCTCGCAGGAAGCCCCAGGGTACAGCTCTTGGCCTGACCTGTCCTGGTTGCCTGCATCCACCCATCCCTCAGCGCGCACTGGCCTACTGCCATGGGAATGGACAGCCAGGGGCTCTAGGGCCTGGCAGCACCAGTGCCCGGTGGCTGGGCGTGCCCCCTGGGAAGGCCACAGGGAGGAGATCCCAGTCAGGGAGCACACACAGGCTGCCCTGCCCTGGCCTGTGTGCCGGAACTGAGACACAGCTCTCCAGGGTCCCATCAGGAAGGTAATGGGAGGGCATGGATTCCTGCAGCTAAGCACCATCAAGAGGAGCCCCCCGGTGGTGCAGTGGCAATGTATTGGGCTGTGATCTGCAAGGTGGGGAGTTCAAATCCACCAAGAGAAACAAGCCAAAAAACCAAACTCACTGTCATCGAGCCAATGCTGACTCAGAGAGCCCCTGTGGACTTCCGAGACTGCTAACTATTACGGGGGGTAGAAAGCCCTGTCCTTCCCCTGTAGGGCTGCTGGTGATTTTGAACTGCCAACCATGTGGACCGTAGCCACCAAGGCTGCTCCTCGGGAGAACGATGGGGTTTTCTACTTCTGAGACAGTTATACTCTCTGAAACGCACAAGTGCAGTTCCACCCTGTCCTACAGACTCGTGCTGAGTCAGCAGTGACCGTGACAGCAAGTACTGCCACATGCGGAATCCTACAGGGCAGTGAGAGCCACAGCCTACCCCCCGTAGGGGCAGTGAGAGCCACCGCCTATATCCTGCAGGGCACTGTGTGGACTCAGGTGGGCCTGGCCAGGACACGGTGTTTCCCGTTGCCTCACATACACGATAGCTTTGCAGTGAACAAGGCAGAGCTGAGAAGAATCGGTGCCTTTAGATGGGGGTGTCGGTGGAGAACCAACAAATCTGTCTCAAAGAAGCTGGGTCAGAATGCTCCTTAGAAAAGTGAGTGGGTGAAAGGAGACGTCAGACAGTGTAAGACATGACAAAATAATAATAATTTATAAATTATCAAGGGTGAGGGAGGGAGGGGGAAAATGAGGAGCTGATACCAAGGGCTCAAGTAGAAAGAAAATGTTTTGAGAATGATGATGGCAACAAATGTACAAATGTGCTTGACGAATGGATGGATGGATGGATGATGATCAGAGCTGTATGAGCCCCCAATAAAATTATTTTTAAAGTGAGGATGGCAAGACTTTGTCTCACTTTGGCCATGTTGTCAGGAGAGACCACTCCCTGGAGAAAGACGTCCAGCATGGTGACGCAGAGGGGAGGCACAAGTGGAAGCTGACTGTCCAGCCTTTGTCCCGGGGGCTGTGAATGCAGCAGCACCCCCACATTTCCAGCCAGCAGCCAAACAGGTTTATCACGTGCACCACAGGCATTCGGTCTAACACGGAAAACCACACGAGATGCCACTGTGCCAGGTCGGATTCACCATGACCCTGTGTGTGTGTCGGAGCAGGATTCCCAATGACTGGATTTTGGGAAGTAGATCCCCATGCCTTTGTTCTGAGGTGCCTCTGGGCGACTTTGGTGACTGTTGGTGGCCGAGAGAGTCACCGCTTGGGGCTCTTGTCTGAATGAGCTGCAAAGACCATCATTAGAGAATATGTGAGGCCGTGTCAGTTTTATAAACAGAATAGCATCCGGCTGCCTGCCAGGATGGCAAGGAGCCATTTGTGTCCTAGTAGACGGGCCCTGCTGGGTGTCGATCAGGTTCTGTGTTGCGCGGCTGTGGTACACGCAAGCCGGCCGCTGATGCTGCCGATGTAGAAATGAGCAGCACTGGGTTCAGAGGACAAGGGTCATGGTTTGTGGGTCCTCTCAGTCAGGGGGCCTAACGTTGCTCTACCTTCATTCACAATGTAAGATCTGGGGACTTGGAGGCTTGCAAGTGGGCATTTAGGGTGCAGCCACCAGTCTCTGCTCATCCAGAACAGCAGAAGAAAGGGGGTCCAGCCCGAGGACCCTCGAGGGGACAACCTCACTGACTTAGCAACCAAACAAGCTGCCTCTTAAATGACTTCTGCACTGACAACCCATAAAGACAGGGACTCTTCAAATCCACCCACTGACATTTCCAACCTCGGAGAACTGGCTTGAGGAAAGCTTTGGAAACACCTGTCATGGCTCCAGGTGGACATGATGGAAACATGGAAAAGTGTAGAAAGTCCACGTGCTTCAGCTGCTCAGTTCTTCCCACTACCACTGCCACGGGGTTGATCCCACGTCACAGTGATCCTGGGTAGGGTTTCCAAGGGTGTGAACCTCTGTGGGAGCCCTGGTGGGGGGTGGTTACACGCTGGGCTGATAAGGTCAGGGTCGGCAGTGTGAAACCACCTGCAGTCCAATGCTCACCTGACGTCCCCACCAGGCCTTCTTTATTAAGTTATGAACGGGTCCTACTTTAACAAATGAAAGTTACCTAAATTCACTAAAGTATTGTCAATCTTCAATTCAGTATTCTATGAGAAGCTTTAAAT